CTCACCGGGTTGGCGATGATGCAGATCATGGCTTCCGGGCAGTGCTGGGCACAGGCGGCAGCCAGGGTGGCCACAATCGTGGCGTTGGTGTTGAACAGGTCATCTCGTGTCATGCCTGCAATGATCCAAGGCAGATGTTCACTGGAATGCCAGGCACTCCCGGCTAGGCTGTCAAGTGCCACGTGTTAGGCTGTGGCCAGATATCCGGCCTTGGGGCCTCACAGCTCCTGCTTTGGGTCCATCTACGTGGTGGGGAGAACAGTCCACAGTGACACAGGGGTGCTGCAAGAGTCTATGGGAGTGGAGCTGGGTCAGGGGAGGGACAGGGCTTTGCCATGTGGCTGAAAAAGGCAGGGGACCCCATGTCTCCTAGGCAATGGGAACCTCTGGGATTGGTCTGTCGTAGAGAGATGGTGGGACCCACCTTTGACAGACAGCCACCTTTCCAGCTGCCCCCACCCCCATACCTGGTTTCCTGGGGACCCCAGCAGGAATAACCACCACATCACAGCCCTTCAGGCAGTCGGGCAGCTGCTCGGGTCCGAGGTAGCCTGGAAAACACGGTTAAGAATCATCATCTTGCTCGTCCTAACCTTGAGGGTTGACACTTGTTGGGGACACAGCCTGGGGATTCCTGGGGCCAGCCAGAGGGCCCACTTGTGATGGGGTCTCCTCCCAATCGCTCCAGCCCCAGCCCGGGTCTGAGCAGTCAGCTCCGAGTGGGCCCAAAGGCTGCAGGGGAAAAGGCTGGACCCAGATGGCAGCACCCACATCCCCTCCTTGGCTTTCCAAGACCTCAGGAAACTGGCTTTGATCTTGAACAGCTCATGAGGGGGAGGCAGCTTGAGGGCTCAGAGCAACTAGGAGGGCACCACACATGTGCTCTGCCAGCCAACCTCCCGGATGGGTTTAACATCAAGTGTGTGCTCTCTCCCATGGTCGGTGGGGCAAGGCAGGGCCCAACATCTGGGCAGCAACTTGGTGCTGCACAGTGCAGGCGCTGAAGCAGGCCTGGCTCTTCATTTTGCTTTAGGAGACTGAGAAAGATGACGTATGGACAGTTACTTATCACAACCCGGTTTGTTTTTATGGAGAGCAAAGTTAAATGGGTAGCAGCCCAATAATGAACAGTGTGGGTGTAAACAATAATTGATAAAACTACAGGACAGTTCCTAAAATAGGTTCACTGGGAACCAGGAGATGTAGTGCGACGGCCAAATTAGCAGGATGGGCAATTACCAAGAGCTTCTCGGAGACAGCGCCCCCTGCTGCCTGTGACTCCCCGTAAGAGGCTCCCCCTTCGCTGCCTCCACCACCTTTTCAAATTGGGAAATGCCGCGGACTTTGGGAAAGCCAAACTGCCTTGTTCCATCGCCTCCCAGTACCTTTCACAGTCGCTCTGGTCTCGATGTGGCTCAGGTCAGCGGCCACGCCGGGGGTGTGTGCGATGTCGTAGAGGGTCAGGCGGCTGACAAGGGGGCTGTTCTTCAGGAGAAGCGAGAGGGGCTGGCCGATTCCCCCGGATGCCCCGAGCACGGCTACTTTAGCATTGTTCTGAGACAAAGCACAACATGGAAAGGACTCTTGGGGTGGAGTTGGTGTCAAATGCATGTACCCGGCACCTGCTGGACACTGTGCTGGACCTCTGACCTGCGTGGGACCAAGGTCAGATGCCCAGGTCTCTGCTACAGCCCGGGGCAGGACGAGGATCTGCTCGACTTGAGAGCTGCCGCCAAGAGGTAGTGGCAGCTGGTCTGGGGTGTTACGGCTTCCGGTAGTTTAAAGACACATACAGGCTTAGAGAAGTCCCTCGATGCTGAGGATAGACTGGCCTGCCTCACATGTAAAAGGCCGGGGCCGGGATGAGTCAGCTTCTCCTTATGAGTTTATTAGCATATGAGGTTGGGCCTGACTGTGCCTGGCTGTCCCGGAGCTCCACATATCTAACGGTCGTCACCACCTGGCCCTATCACACCTGTCCTGTTCCCGAGTGGGTCTAGGCATCGAAGAGATCACACGGGTCACCCACCACTCACGGAGGGACCCCTGGGTAGTTTCCACTGTTTGGCTGAAACACATAATACTGCTATGACGGTTATTTACATATAAACTGATACAGGGACGTGACTTTAGTTCTCCTGGACCTGCACCCAGCAGTGGAACTGACAAGTCACTACTCCCAAGTTCAAGCAAATACCAGACTGCTCCCCAAATTGGCTGTCTGCTCACTGGCCAGCCTGGTTGGCCAGTCCCAAGCAGTCCCCCGGCAGATGCGGAGACCTAAAGCACCGAGTAGCCTGGATCCCACGATGAGTCAGGTCAGCCAGCACCAAACCCAGACAAAGTGCCTGCAACATTTCTGCTTAGGAAATGGCTCTTTAAAGGGACCCGCTGCAGCCAGGCCTTGAACTCCCAACAGGCTGGGCTAGGCAGGAGCGAGACACCAGGAACCCCAGCACTGGCCGCCTAGCAGGAACCTAGATGGGACGGCCAGGGGGCGGAGGCTGGGGCGTGGGAAGTGGGCTTTGCCAGCAGCACCTTAGGGGTCCACAGCCAGCGGGGCTGCAAGAGGAGGTGATAGAAGTTTGCATTAGAAAAATTTTTAGGGCCTGGCGTGATAGCGTAGTGATGAACGTCTTTGCCTTGCACACACCAGGATCCCATATAAGCACCGGTTCTAATCCCGGCGCCCCTGCTTCCCATCCAGCTCCCTGGATGCTTGTGGCCTGGGAAAGCAGTCAAGGACAGCCCAAAGCTTTGGGACCCTGCACCCACATTTGGAGACCCAGAAGAATTTCCTGGCTCCTGGCTTCAGATTGGCTTAACTCCAGCTGTTGCGGCTGCTTGGGGGAGTGAACCATTGGACAGAAGATCTTCCTCTCTATCTGCCTTTCCAATAAAAATAAATCTTAAAATAATTTTTTTTTTAGCTAGCAAAACAAAAATTATATTTGACCAGGAAGTGGATGCCTCCAGCGGTGCCCTCACTGGGGTCCCAACGTGGATCAGCTCGCAGGCCACGTGGGGAGTGTCACATGGAGTCGGGGTCAGCCTCCATCCCTCCCCACTGGGGCAGGCTGTCCTGTACACACTGCAAAATGCTGTCACTTCCCTAGTATTTTCAAAATGAGAAGCAGTTACTACCAACAGGGTCTAACAGAGCCTGGATACACAGTAATTTTTCCTGCTTTAGCAGACATTGCAGACTCCATAAATCTAAAACCAGGGCCCTGATAACTTCTCCCCTACCCACGCCTCCTCCTCCTCCTCTAGTCTCTTGCAACATTTCTTGCCCCTAACCTCAGGATCACCCACAATCCTCTCCCCTTCTCATCCAACCCTGCTCCTGGGCAAATCCTGCCGCCTCTGCAGCAGTCACCTGACACAAGGGGGACCATTCTGTGAGTTCAGACCAAGGCCTTGCTGTGGCCCACAGGATCGCACAAATCCTACTGTTAACCCCCCACTGCCCCTGCTCTCCTAGCACCCACTCAAGGCACAGCCCCAACTCTTCGGAAGACACCCTTTTTGTATGGGAAGGCTAGTTGCGGAACTTAACCCAATACCACCTTTTGGGGGGGGGGGCGTCCTATGGAGAGGTGCCCTACCCCGACAGAATCTAAGATGGAAACTACTTTCCCTGCCAATCCTTACTGCTTTCTTCCTCTGTGCTTGTCCCCCAAGATCTACTTCACTGTAGGAGGCAAGATGGAAAGTTCCAGAAGAGCTGGGAGCTTTGTTAGGGTTCTGGTCACTGCACAGGCACCACCCAGGTTGCACCAGGCCCTCACCCCTTAACACCTCCCCTGGGACTGACTTCCACTCCTGGGCCCCTCAGCATCGCTCATCGCCTGCACCTGTCTAGGCCTTGCTGGCTGGTGTCAGGTGCCACTGCTCCCCCTGGTATCTCTCCTACTCAGTGCAGCTGCCGACGAGCAGATATTTGGCGTATCTGTATATTATTATTATTATTTTTTTTAATTTACTTTCAAATGAAGTGAGCACACGGGGTGTGGAAGGTCTCAAAGCTCCATGACCAGCAACTGAAGTCCCTTTAAGGAGAATCACTTCTTCCACACCACAGCTGTGATACTGAAAGGCAATGCCTCAAACTGCCATGCAATTTGACTCACTGGGGCAGAAAGCGTAGCACCTGTTCAAAACAGGGCCAACAGGGCCTGTTCTTCCTCCCTTAAATACTCTTCAGGTGATTCCCTGTTAGACATGGTTATAAATAGCGTGGCCTTCAGTGGTCCCGGGTTGGGCCAAGTCAGCACACCTGGGCGCTGGCCCAGGCTTCCCCCGTGGCAGGAAGGCGGCCTCTGGCCAGGTTCCTTAAAAAGGGGCCATCAGCAGGCCACTGGCCCGATGACCCTGCAACCTCGGGACCGGCTCTCTCTACCCTCGTGGGGAGTGAAGCTCCCCACCACGCATCCACGCACATCTCTCAAGGACGCTGCCAGAATCAAAGGAAAGTTGCACACAAAAAGAGTAAGTTCCAGAGTCGCAGTTTCTTAAGCCTCGGGAGAGCGTGGGGGTACTGGGGTTGTGTATCCATCCTTGGCTCTCTCCCACGCCTTCTCCCTTCGGCCCTCCCGGCCCAGCGCGCTGCAGCCTCCAGCCAGGCTGGCCCAGGGCGGTGTGGCGGCGGCCAGACCTGCCGGGGTGGGTGGTGGTTTGGGGGATTGCACGTGGGGCCAGCTCGTGGGGTCACGCAAGCCAGCGCGCGCAGGGCCTACCTGGGCCGAGGTACTGAAGCTGCGGCGGAGAGCGGTGCCGACGGGCCGGGCGAGCGCGGAGAGCATGGCTGCGGGCACGGGCAGGGGCCGCGGGGCCGACGGGCGCAGGAGCTGGCGGGCTGCAGCAAGTGACTCCAACGACCTCCACACGGCGGAGCAGCTCCCGGCGCCGCGGCCCTGGCCTCGCGAGACCGGACCCGCTTCCGTCCCTACCCACCCGCAACCGCCCTAGATCTCGCGATACCACGGCCACATCCGGGGGCAGAGTGGCGGTGGAGCCGTGAGAAAGAGGAGGAGGAGAAGGACAGGGAGAGGCGTTCTCCCGCGATCGCTTGGAGAGGAGCCATATTTCCAAGTGGGGCTCCACACGGAGACCCTGCTGTGGCTGGTGCGCCCCGCCGAGGTCGCGCCGCAGGTCAGGAGAAGTGAATTCTCCCCAAAACCTCGGCCCCGCCCCGCCCCTTGTGTCCCTGCAAATGGGGGAGTCGTAGGGTCTCTGCAAAGAGGAGTGAGATGGTGGTCCAGGCCCCGGGCCGGCTGGGAGGAACGTTCCCGAAGCCAAGGCTGCCGCCTCGGGTCGCACAGATCCGGCTAGGGGACCCCGTTGTCCCTAGCAGAGAGCCCTCGCTCCAGCTTGTTCTGGATTCAGGGGCCCGTGAGGCAGGGGGGAGGGGGGGAAGCATCCACACAGAACATACGTGTGGGCACTACCTCCTCCTTGCCTCTGTCCCTTTTCGTTCGTGCTAGCCCCCTGGGGTGTGACCAGCAGCCCCTTGGGGAGTTTGAGAGGTTAGTGGGAGGGAGAGGAGGGCACAACCCCGGGAACCTGTCGGCTTAGCAGGTGCTGTGGGAGTAAGGTGTCTAATAGCTTATTGGAAGATCTTTCTCTGTGCATCTTTGTACCCACTGGTTTACTCCCCCGGTGGCTGCAACGGCTGCAGCTGAGCCAATCCAGAGTCAGGAGCTTCTCCTGGGTCTCCCATGTGGGTGTAGTTTCCCAAGGGCTTGAGCCATCCGCCGCTGCTTTCCCAGGCTATAAGCAGGGTCTGGCACCCATACGGGATGCCATTGCCACAAGGTGGAGGATTACCTGCTGTACCATCACACTGGCCGTAATGAGAAGCATTTTTAGAGACTTTAGAGCAAAATTTTTAAGATTTATTTTTAGTGGAAAGTTGGATTTACAGAGTGAAAAAGAGACCAAGATCTTCTGTCTGATGGTTCACTTCCCAAGTAGCTACAATGGCTGGAGCTGAGCCTATCCGGAGCCAGGAGTTTCTTCCAGGTCTCCCACACGTGTGCAGGGTCCCAAGGCCTTGGGCCGTCTTCGACTGCTTTCTTAGGCCACAGGCAGGGAGCTGGAAAGGAAGGGAAGCGGCTGGGATATGAATCGGCACCCATATGGGATTCCAGGCATGTAAGCTGAGGACTAGAGCCACTAGGCTACTGTACCAGGCTCTAGAGAAAAACTTGAAGAGCACTTTGGGGGGCCAGCAGCATGGTTTAGTTGGCTCACCTGTAGACCTTGGTGTCTGATATGGGTGTCGGTTATAGTCCCCTCTACCCTGCACCTGTGTGGCTGATCAGTGGGAGCTCCTGGCTCTTGGCTTCCAATCAGCTAAGCTCGTGCTGTTACGGCTACTTGGAGTAAACCAGCAGGTGAAAGATCTTTGTCCTTCTCTGTAAATCTGCCTATCAAAATCTGTAAGAAACAGACCAGCTGCTACACCTTCCATCCGTGTTGTCCCGCTCACGGCTGGTCGGTGCCTCTGGGGAAAGAGGTGAATGCTTTGGAATAGGTTGGAAAGGGCTGGAGTGATGGTTGAACAGGTTAATCCTCCACATGCAGGCAATGACATGACGTGGGCATCAGTTCTAGTCCTGGTTGCTCCAGTTCCCATCCAGCTCCCTGCTTGTAGCCTGGAAAAGTGGCAGAGGATGGCCCAAGTCCTTGGACGGACCCCTGCACCCACATGGGAGACCTGGAAAAGGCTCCTGATTCCTGGCTTTGGATCAGCTCAGCTCTACCCATTGTGGCTTTTGGGGAGTGAATCAGCGGATAGAAAATGCTCCTGTCAGTCCTATCTGTAAATCCACCTTTCCAGTAAAAATAAATCGTTCAGAAATAGTTGGGGAAAAATACAAGCAAAACAGATCTTTGCATATGAGTATTGGCTGCAAAACACTTCTGATTTGGGGCAGCTGGTGTTTACCCTAAGTTTCCACGGCACTTGCTGGCCATGTGTTTGAGGGGTACACGAACCCTATGCGCGAAGGATTGAGGGGGAACACCTGGGAGGGATGAGGGAGGTAGGCCGGGAGGCCAAGGAATGGGGGGAATGAGATCTGGGATGTGATGGTGGGCGTGGGAGTGGAAAGGGTAAGACCAGTGCCTGTGGGTGGGGAGAGCTGGAGCCCTTCGGGGATGGAGGGATGAATGAAAGGGGTACAGAAAACACGGAGAGAGCGAGCTCACCAGGGGAGAAAGTGGTGTGGGAGTGATGGTGTGAATGGTGAGTGGGCAGGAGGGACGTGACTCCAAGAGGAAAGGGGTGCCAGAGCTGAAGTCATCCCTACAGAGGGACTAGAATGTAGAGCCCCATGCCCCCCTCACATCTAGGGCTCAGTTCTTTTGGTGTGTCGGCCTCTCAGAGGTACCATAGGTTTGGCACAATGGCTCAGCTGGCTAATACACCACCATCAAGGCTGTGATCCCATAAGGGAGCTGGTTTGTGTCCCAGCTACCCATCCAGCTCCCTGCTTATGGCCTGGGAAGTCGGCAGAGGATGGCCCAAAGCCTTGGGTCCCTGCATCCACATGGGAGGAGGGTCCTGGCTTCAGATTGGCTCAGCTCTGGCCATTTCAGCCGCTTGAGGAGTGAAGCAGCGGATGGAAGATCTGTCTCTGTGGATCTACCTTTCCAGTGAAAATAAAAAAAAAAAAAAAAGACTACCCCTCTAGTCCTCTCTGGGGACCATTCAAACAATCTGAGCAAATCCTCAGATTCAGGAGAGAGGAAGATCTTGCATCTGATTCACACCCCAAGCGGCCACAATGGCTGGAGCTGAGCTGATCCAAAGCCAGGAGCTTCTTCCAGGTCTCCCACACGGGTGCAGGGTCCCAAAGCTTTGGGCCATCCTCTACTGCTTTTCCAGGCTACAAGCAGGGAGCTGGATGGGAAGTAGAGTTGTTGGGATTAGAATCGGTGCCCATATGGGATCTTGGCACGTGCAAGGTGAGGTCTTTAGCCACTAGACTACTGTGCCAGACCCTACATTATTTTTTAAAAAGATTTGATAGGCAGTTTTTTTTGTGAAATACTTAATTTTACTGGAAAGGCAGATTCATAGAGAAGGGGAGACAGATCTTCCATCTGCGGATTTATTCCCCAAATGGCTACAATGGCCAGAGTTGAGCTGACACAAAGCCAGAAGCTTGTTTTAGGTGTAGGATCTCAAGGGCTTAAGCCATTCTGACGCGTTCTCAAGCCACAAGCAGAGAGCTGGAATGGAAGTGGAGCAGCTGAGATGTGAACCGGTGCCCATACGGGATGCTGGTGCTTGGAGGTGGAGGATTATCCTGTTAATGCAGCAGCCCCCCTAAGTCTTTTTAAGAATCTTTTGGGGGCCCGGCGCGGTGGCGCAAGTGGTTAAAGGTCCTCGCTTTGCACGCCTGGGATCCCATATGGGCGCCGGTTCTAATCCCGGCAGCCCCGCTTCCCTTCCAGCTCCCTGCCTGTGGCCTGGGAAAGCAGTCGAGGACGGCCCAAAGCTTTGGGAACCTGCACCCGCGTGGGAGACCCGGAAGAGGCTCCTGGCTTCGGATCGGCATAGTATCGGCCCGTTGCGCTCACTTGGGGAGTGAATCATCGGACGGAAGATCTTCCTCTCTGTCTCTCCTCTCTGTATATCCGCCTTTCCAATGAAAAAATAATAAAAAATCTTTAAAAAAAAAAAGAATCTTTTGGAACCACTTAATTTTACTAAGATTCACTTATTCTTTTAATTGGAAAGTTGGACTTACAGAGAGGAGAGACAAAGATCTTCCATTAGCTGGTTCACTCTACAAGTGACTGCAACAGCTGGAGCTGAGCTGAACAGAAGCCAGAAGCCAGGAGCCTGGAGCTTCTCCCGGGTCTCCCACACTGGTGCAGGGTCCCAAGGCTTTGGTCCATTCCTCTGCTGCTTTCCCAGGCCACAAGCAGGGAGCTGGATGGGAAGTGGGTAGCCAGGATATGAACCAGTGCCCATATGGGATCTTGGTGTGTGCAAGGCAAAGACTTTAGCCACTAGTCTACCATATCGGGCCCTCTAATAACAAGTCTTAACAGCTGCTGCTGTTGTGCACTGACCTGGTGGCAGCCACTATGCCAATCTAGTGGTGACATTGAACGAGCAGGGATACCCACAAGCAGCAGATGTGGTTACGAAGCAGACATCACAATTGCTTAAACATCCTCCTGTTAAAGTTGAGTTTGATTCAGGGGCCCATGTTGTGGCACAGTAGTTGAAATTCTTCCAACTCCAGCATCCCGTATTGGAGTCCCAGTTCAAGTCCCCACTGCTCTGCTTCCAACTCAGCTCCCTGATACAGGATCTTGTTACCCGTGGGAGAGGCCAGGGTGGAGTTCTGCTCTTGGCCCTGGGCTAACCCAGACCTGGCTATTGCAGCCATTTAAAGATTGAACCACTGGGTGGAAGGTCTTTTTCTCCCACTCTCGTCCATTGCTCTGCCTTCCAAATTTTGTGTATATGATCTGAGTTTGTTCAGAGGGGTTGCTACTGACTTCCCAAATTCACTCAAGAAAACCAAGGCCTGCGTCGATGTTGGAAATCCTAGAGAAAGATGCTGGCAGGGAGAAGCTTCGATGTGCTAGGCAAGGGGTAAGAACAGGATGAGGTCTGGGAGGAGACCTGGGAGGGCAGTTACCGCCCTGTGACCCCTGGGAGAAGTGCAGTGCACCTCCAGTGGGCAGCTGTTGGGTGGGTGGTCCACACCCAGAGGTTTCACTGGAAAGTGGGGGAGGGCCGAACAGGTCTGGGAAGAGCCGAGATGAGAAGAGGGTTGCCTGGCTCAAGGTCAGGGCCCACGGGAAGTCCTGCTATGGGGCAGAACATGGCACATTCATGTGGCTTCCTGTGGGCCAGGCCCTGTGCCGAGGTCATAGACAGACAGACAGACACACACACACACACCCTTTGGATTTACATCCTGAAGCAACATGGGTATATGTGGATTTGTGGAAGGGATTAATTTTTTAACCATTTATTTGAAAGGCAGAACTACAAAGAAGAGAAAGCTTCCATCTGCTGGTACACTCTCCAGATGGCCACCATGGCTGAGGTTGGGTCAGGTGGAAGCCAGGAGCTTTTTTCAGGTTCCCCATGCATGGGTGGCAGAGGCCCAAGGAGTTAGCCCATCCTCTGCTGCTTTTCCCAGGCTCGTTAGCAGGGAGCTGGGTTGGAAGTGAAGTACTCAAGACTCAAACCAGCACCCATATGGGATGCTGGTGCTGCAGGCCACAGCTTAACACCAGCCCTGTATTTGCTAATTTTTTTTTTTTCAGATATTTAGTTTACATGCAGTCAAGTGTAGAGGTCTTAACGGTTCTAATCGGTTTGGGCACTGTGTGTCCTTGGTACCACCACCTGAACGGTGAAATGTTATCTTCCTTCCCAAAGATTGCAGTATGTTGTCTTCACTGTCTCTTGGACTTCACATTTGTGCTGTCCAGCCTTCCTCATGTACAACCACGTGAGTCCAGCAAGCCTGCTCACACTAGCTCCACATGCTGATGTGTGCCAGTCACTTTGACACTCACACATCGTGGGCTCCCAAAATCGTCAGTGTAATGTTCAGATACTGTATGCCAACCCGCACTCAACCCTGAAACCATGCCTTAGGTGGGGACTCCTTAGCCGAAAGTGCTGGTTGCTCCATCTGACATGCAACTCCGTCTTTTGATGTGTAATTCCATTTTTTTTAAAAGGTTAGTCTATTTGAAAGCTGAGTTATTTATCCACTGGTTCACTCCCCAAGTGGCCACAATGGCCAGAGCTGAGCTGATCTGAAACCAGGAGCTAGGAGCATCTTCCAAGTCTCCCAGACAGATGCAGGGTCCCAAGACTTTGGGTCGTCCTCTATTGCTTTGCCAGACTCCTTAGCAGAGAGCTGGATTAGAAGTGGAGCATACAGGACTCAAGTGCCCTACGTGGGATGCCAGTACCACAGATGGCAGCTTTACCTACCACGCCAAGGCACCAGCCCCAGGAAGGCAAATTTTTTAAAGATTTATTTTTATTGCAAAGTCATATGTAGAGACAGAGAGGAAGATCTTTTGTCTTTGATTAACTCCCCAACTGACCACAATGCACCAATCCAAAGCCAGAAGCTCGGAGGCTCTTGCAGAGACTGACACAGATGCAGGGTCCCGAGGCTTTGGGCCATCCTCCAACTATTCTAGGCCACAGCAGGGAGCTGGATGGGAAGTGGAGCTGCTGGGATTAGAACCAGTTCTTTTTTTCTTCCCTGACATAGATTCCTTGATAGACTATAACCTCCCTGAGGGCAGGTCTTATTTCCAGTTACTTCAAACGTGTATAGATGTTCCAACATCTAGTACATGTTCATCATCCGCTAAATGTGCGAACAAATCGGACTCTTGTATACGCTACCTCTAAGCACAGTATCCACTGGCTCAGCATCTTGCGTCATTCTTTTCAACTCTAAATTTCACCACCTGTGTTTTTATCGTTATTTTTAGAGATTTAGTTTGCCTGGAAAGGCAGAGTTAGAAGAGGTGGAGAGAGCTTCTACCGCTGCTTCACTCCCCAGATGCGTGTGTGGGCTATTTAGGAAGAGTTGATTGAATTCAGCACAGGCAGGCTCGGCCTGTCCGGCGTGGATCCTCCATGCAGGATGGCTGATCTGGTTTTGTGTGAACCGACGGAGCTTTACAACATCTTGAATCAGGTCACGCAGTTCTCCAGGCTAACGGAGCCCAACTATCTCTGTCTGTTGGGTAAGTACTGCAAAACGCGGCTGTGCTGAGGGACAGCGCCCTGCAGCCGGGGTTAACACTGCATGGGAGGTGCAAGATACCATGAGGAGACTGGTAGGCTCCTCAGCATGAAGGGCCGCTGTAAAATGATGTAGGAATCGGGCCCAGCAGCTAAAGTCCTCGCCTTGAATACACCGGGATACCATATGGGCGTTGGTTCTAATCCTGGCAGCTCCGCTTCCCATCCAGCTCCCTGCCTGTAGTCTGAGAAGGCAGGGAGGATGGCAGTTGAGGATGGCCCAAAGCCTTGGGACCCTGCACTCACGTTGGAGACCTGGAAGAGGCTCCTGACAGATTGGCTCAGCTGTGGACATTGTGGCCATCAGTTTTTTTTTTAAAGATTTTTATTGGAAATCAGAAGAGACAGAGAGGAAGATCTTCCGTCTGATTCACTCCTCAAGTGGCTGCAACGGCTGGTGCTATGCCGATCCGAAGCCAGGAGCCAGGAACTTCTTCCAGGTGTTCAACTAGGGTGCAGGGTCACAAGGCTTTGGGCCATCCTCGACTGCTTTCCCACGCCACAGGCAGGGAGCTGGATGGGAAGTGGAGCTGCCGGGATTAGAACTGGCACCCATATGGGATCTCAGTGCGTTCAAGGCGAGGACTTTAACAGCTACGCTATTGCGCCAGGCCCTAAAAAAATCGGTTTAACACAAAATTTAAACTTGGGTCATGGCTTTTAGCTGGCCCAAGCCCCAGCTATGGAGAGCATGAGGGAAGTGAGTCAGCATGCTCTCTTAAATAAGAAAAAAAACCAACATGTTTTATTCATTTGAAAGATAGTGACAAAGACCTTCCATCTACTGGTTCACTCCCTAAATGGTTGCAACAGCCAGGTGTACGCAAGGCAAAAACCAGTAGTCAAGAGCTTCCTCAGGTCTCCCACGTGGGTATGGGGGCCCAAGCACTTGCTTCGGAAAGCAGCAGAGGGTGGTCCAACTGCATGGACCCCAGCTCCCACATGGGAGACCCAAAAGAAGCTCTTGGCTTCAGACCGGCCCAGCTGGGCAATGAACCAGGCAATGGAAGATTCTCTCTCTACAGCCCTTACAAATAAGTAAAGTCTTGAAAAATAAAAAGCAAGGGAGAGAACAAGCTGTTTGCAGGTAACAAAAACCAAGGGAGTTGATGAGGTATGTAGGAAGTGCCAGAGGGAGCCGTGGATGGGGTCTAAGGGGCCTCTCCCATTAGGGGCATCTCCGGGAAGTCCTCAAGATCGCAGTGAAGATGAGCACGAAGGCCCTTTACAAGCCAGTGTTTGGTTTTCTCCCTAAGGGATTAATGCATGTAACATTAAATAAAGAGGTCCTTTGTCCATTTGCTCCTCAAATGGCTGCAGTGGCCAGCGCGGGGCCAGGCAGCTGCCAGGAGTACAGGCATCTTGCAGGCCTCCCACGCAGGTACAGGGATCCAAGCACTTGCGCCCTCCTCTACTGCTTGTCTAGCCACATTAAATAAAGAGCTGGTTCACAAATGGAGCAACTTGAACTTGAACCAGCATCCATTATGGGGTGCTGGTACTGCAGGAAGTAGCATAACCTGCTTTGTCACAGCACTGGCCCCCTAAACTTACCATCCCATCTTTTTTTTTTTTTGATTTTTATTTTTATTGGAAAGTCAGATATACAGAAAGGAGAGACAGATCTTCCGTCCGATGACTCACTCTCCAAGTGAGCACAATGGCTAGTGCTATGCCAATCCGAAGCCAGGAGCCAGGAACTTCCTCCAGGTCTCCCACGGGGATGCAGGATCCAAAGCATTGGGCTGTCCTTGACTGCTTTCCCAGGCCACAAGCAGGGAGCTGGATGGGAAGTGGAGCTGCCGGGATTAGAACCGGCGCCCATATGGGATCCTGGCGCGTTCAAGGCGAGGACTTTAGCTGCTAGGCCACGCCGCCGGGCTCTTGTCATCCCATCTTCCACAGACTCTTGACACGCCCTTGGTGAGAGTGGGTGGGATTTAGGCTACCAGTTCCTCTGCAAGGCTGATTCTCGGTGAAACCACGTCTCCCTCCACAGATGTCCGCTCCAAACGGGAGTACGACGAGAGCCACGTGATCACAGCCGTCCGTGTGAAGAAGGTAGGTGGGGAGCAGGGGTAGCTGTGGCCCTCCATCCCAGGGGTCCCATGGGATTGCCTCTCCTGTCGAGTCCTCCAGCCTTCTTTCCTATAAGGGGCTGGACATCCCAGCCCCCCTCCTGCCACAAGGCCCATCTCCCCCGACCTCCACAGTGTCGGCTCTCTAGAACCATCGCCAGGCCTGGCCCACCTCCTTCCTGACCTCTGCAGTCACCACCTTGACTTTAAGGTGCTGCCTTAGCCCCCACCCCCGTCCCTGGTTCTTCTCTCTCCAGTCCCGCTTCACTGTCTCCTGTCAGCTGCAGGTGACCGCGGCGCTGCCCTCGTCTCCCCCACACCTGTTCCCATTACTGCTCCCTAGACTTCATCCAGGCTCACAGCTTGGTCCGTCCACAGGTGAGCCAGCAGTCCCGCCAAGCTCACCTCTGAGATTTTGCCTTGGCAAATCTTCCCAGCCCGGGCCCATCCCCCTCGGCCACTGGGCTGCCTGTCCTGCTTGTCCTCCCTGCCTTCCTCCCTTCCCTGTCCTTCCTGCTTCTCTTCCCCGTCCTCCCTATCTGCCTCTCTCTCTCCCCTCCCTCCTCCCTGCCTCTCCCACCTTCCCCGTCCTCCCTCCTCCCTGCCTCTCTCCCACCTTCCCCGTCCTCCCTCTGTGCCCTTTACCTGACTTAGGTCCTTGAGGGCAGCTCCCTGACTACATGTGTTTCCAGCGTAACTTGTTCCCTTCCATTCCCTGGGTTTTCAGTTCCCTAGCTGTGTCCTCTGGCTCCAAATCCTGGTTTTTGTACCCCACTGCAAGTCCCCCATCTCAGGCCTCGGCGCCCGCTGGACTCTGGCTCAGGTGTGATCTGTCCTCAGCACCTCCAGCCTCATGTTCAGGTCTCGGGGCTCTTGCTTCCCCTCCCTGTACCCGAGATAACAGGTGGAGGCCTTCAGGGACACCCCAGCTCAGAAGCATAGGAAATCTCCCAGCTTGGCCCACCCTGTCTTCCTGGATGTGGGCAACCCCCTGCCACCTCTCACCTGCATACTGTCACCTGCCATGCCAGTAACCTTGCTCCATCAGGTTCACTTGGGTTCCAAGACACAAACTTACCTCTCAAAACTGTAGGTCTGTTTCTCCCCCAGAAAACAGAAGTGGGAGACAATGGGTGTCACTCTTTCTCCACCATTTTAGGGGGGCTTCTCCTCTTCCCACTGCACCTGCTGGTACTGCCTAAGGAAGCATCCAGAGCGCGGGCCCCCAGGGAGAGGCAGGGAAGGAGGACAGCCGGGCTGGGGATGGGCCCTGGGGTGCTGGTTCGGGTTTTGCTGGAGGCCAGCTGCTGCCTTGCCCTGCCTGGGGTATTTGGGCCACAGGCCCTATGACTCCCTCCCTCCCTCCCTGTTGCTGCCTGCAAATGTGGGGCCCTCACAAGCCTGTGTGCTGAGAGCCAGGAGGCAGCCATGTCGCGGATGCTGTCACATCTGACATCACATGGGTGCTCGGTGACATGTTGACTCAAATTAGTGGCGAAAGCTGCTCCTTGGGGGCCTGGCGTGCTCCCCACTAACTTGCTTTGTGGTTCTCACAATCCCAGATGGGCCTTTGTGCATCTTCTAGACCAAGTTGAATGTCTTTCTCACTCTCTCGCTCACTCTAAATTTTGAGTTGTTGGGGGGGGTGGGCAGAGATCTTTGATCCACTGGTTCATTCTGCAGGTGGCCATGGCAGCCAGGCCTAAGCCAGGAGCTTCTTTGTCTGCCACAAGACTGACAGGGACTCCAGCACTGCTATCCCAGGCACGTTAACCAAAAGCTGGGTCAGAAACAGAGCGACTGGGACATGAGCAGGTTCCCAATTAGGGGATGCTTGCGTTCCAAGCAGCGGCTTCACCCACTGTGCCACCATGCTGCCTGCCTTAATCCTGCTCTGCCTCCAGGCTTTGTCTCACCAGGCATCTTGCTGCCTGCTTGCCTAGTTCCTTTTGGCAGATAGGATCTCTCCCCTGGGTCTGACCTCTGTCAAATCCTGCTGGTACAGGGACCAGCCAGAGCTGTGGTGTAGTGGTGTAGTGGGGAAAACCACTGCCTACCATCCATGTGGGTGCCAGTTCGAGTCCCGGATGCTCTACTTTCCATCCAGCTCCCTGCTAATGTGCCTGGAGAAGCAGCAGGGGATGGACCAAGTATTTGGTCCCTGCACGCACGTAGAAGACCTTGGTGAAGCACCTGGCTTTGGTCTGCCCCACCCCCAGCTGTTGTGGGCCATCCAGGGAGTTAAACCAGCAGATGGAAGGTCAGTCTGCCTGTCACTGACTTTCAAAATAATCGTTTAAAGCCCTTGTTAGGGCTCTCTCATCCATGAGGTGATGCAGCAGGAACATTGTGAGCAAGTGGAGCTGTGGTCGCAAGTTCTCCCCAAGCTCTGGCCACCCCTTTGGGTCCTGTGTGCTCTGCCCCTGGTACCACAGGCATCCTTCCTTGCCTGTTCCCACCCTGAGATCCACTTTGACGATGACTCGGCCCCTCCCCACCACTCAGTCATTCCCTCTCTACCCCACAGTGGCTGCTGCTTTGTCCATTTCATTCACTTAACCTGCCATATGGTGGATGCTATTCACATCTGTTTGTGGCTTCTGTTGACGCAAACCACCTGCTCACTGTCCCTTTCCAGGGAGTACAGGGGATCCTAGGGCCCTGCCCCTGTGCCAGCCTCTTTTCCCCAAAGGATTGTCGCTGCCAGAGCTGGCTATGGATACCCTAATGCCAGGACAGGTGGCTGGAGGCCAATTGGCTAGACCCGTGCCCTCATCCCTGGCCCAGTGGGCTGTGGTCCACTTTTCCTGGGAAGGGACGTGGGTATGGAAAATCCTTGGCATTTACCATACCTGCTGGCCCCTCTCCGGTGTGCCTGTGGTCAGAGGGCTTCAGGCTGTTCCCTGGAGGACGTGGGGCCCTCCTGCCCACCCACAGGCCTTTCTGTGCTTTCCACAGAAGGATGGCAAGTTTCTGGCACCGGAGTCGGTGGAGCTGGAGTGCGTGAGGTACTGCGTGGTGTATGACAGTAACACCAGCTCCCTGGAGAGTCCCTTAAAAGACGGTGACAACGAAGATGAAGATGAAGATGACGGGGAAGAAGATGCTGTCTCTGAGGATTTACTCCTAAAGCAGAGTAAGAGTCCTTCCATCCTTCAATGGCCACAGGGGCTGGGGCTGGGCCAGGCTGAAGCCAAGAGCCGGGAACTCCACCTGGGTCTCCCACCTGGGTGGCAGGGGCTCCAAGCACTTGAGCCATCCTAGGCTGCTTTCCCTGGGTACATTAACAAGGAGCTGCATCGGAAGTGGAGCAGCTAGGACTTGAACTGGTGCTCATGGGGGCTGCCAGATGGCAGGCAGTGGCTTAATCTGCTAAACTACCAGGTGGGTTTTGACCCAAGCTGCACCAAGAGAAATGGCTTCACAAGTTACTGCCTACTTCTACCTCAGTCTGGGGTGCCATGTGCCAGGGGCTCCCCCTATTTTGGCATGAGCAATCTGCAGGGCCGCCCTGGAGAGCTCTTGGGTCTGAGGCGTCACCCTCCTTACAAGGTGACAGCTTAGCCCTGCAATGGAGACTGACTTTCCAGTAAAAACTAATTTTTTAATTGGAAAGTCAGATATACACAGAGGAGGAGAGACAAAGATCTTCCATCTGTGGTTCACTCCCCAAGCGGCTACAATGGCCAGAGCTGAGCCGATTAGGAGCCAGGAGCTTCTTCTGGGTCTCTTACTCGGGTGCAGGGTCCCAAAGCCTTGGGCCATCCTCGACTGCTTTCTCAGGCCACAAGCAGGGAGCTGGATGGGAAATGCGGCTGCCAGGTTTAGAACCTGCACCCATATGCGATCCTGGGACGTGCAAGGCAAGGACGCTGGCCACTAGGCTATCACGTTGGGGCCACAATTTTTTTTATTGAACAGGCAGTTTTCCAGAGAGGAGAAACAGATCTTTCATTCACTGATTCACTTCCCAAGTGGCTGCAACAGCCAGAGCTGAGCCAATCTGATCCAGGAGCTTGGAGCTTCTTCTGGGTCTCCCCTGTGGTTGCAGGGTCCCAAGACTTTAGGCCATCCTCTACAGCTTTCCCAGGCCACAAGCAGCGAGCTGGAAGGGGAGTAAAGTAGTCAGGGTATGAACTGGTACCCATATGGTATCCTGGCAGATGCAAGGAGAGGATTTAGCCACTGAGCCATCATTCCTGGCTCAAGTCCGAGGCTCACACTGTGGAGACGGCCTGGATGGAAGATGGCCTGTGCCTTTGTCATGGGACACAGAAACGGGACGGACAGATGTTGAAGGATTGGCTCCCTAACATGTAACTACCCCACATTCCCTGCCTGGTGTTGCCCAAGCCCAGGAAAGTGACATAACTTACCCATAGTTCCACACCTAGCAACCTGGTACTGGTCTACCCCAAAACGCAACAAGTTAAGCTTCCCGTGGGCCAGGAAGTCAGGAGTTACTTGGCTAGGAGTTTTTGGTCCTCAGAATGTCAACTGGGGCCAGAACTGTCTGCAGAACTGGGCCGGGATGCCTGGCATCCAAGGTGGTTTAGCCAGGGGCCTTGGCTCCCTGCCACGGGCACCTCTCCCTGGGACAATGCAAATGGCCTCCCAGTGGACCAGCTGGCTTCCCCTAGAGCAAGGGATCTGGAAGGGAGAATATGGGCCTTGTCACTGGCCTTGTCCCTTCTGCCACCTCCTCACCAGGGCCAGCCCCCATGCCCCTTTGGTGGAACCCCTGCCTGACCTTCCAGCCAACTGGCTGTTGGGTTCTGCTCCAAGACAGGTAAGCTTGGGATTGCTAAACTCTAGAAATATGTGTGGGCTTGAGCTTAAAAGGCAGCATTTGTAAGGGGCGTTTTTAAACCGCCTCGCCCAGTGAGCAGGAATCAAGCAGAGGATGTTGGAGTCCATCCTGAGTCCCCAAGAGTTGAGTGATGCTCTAGGTCCGAGTAGTCGCCCCATCACCACAGCGCATGTTGGGCCCCTGTAAGGCGGAGGCTCCTCCGCCTGCTGTCCACATAGGTCCTAGCTTTGGGTGACTGCCGGTGACCACAAACAAATGTGACCATTTAGGGAGTGATCCAATGGATGGAAAATCTTTCCTTCTCTCCATTAATCTGATTTGCTGTAGCTGTGGAGTGTGGGTGCAATTCCAGAGGTCAGGCGCTCTCACTGCCTGCCACTGGGTGGCGCTAAGCCCCCGCCTGTGAATTGACCATTCTTGGCAAAACCAGTCCACTGGGCGCTTATGTAGGATTTCGGTCTGTATTCTGAAAACCTAGGCCACTAGTTAGCTGACTGACCTCCAGGTTACTGCGGGGCTCTCGGCTTCGCTTGGGAATTCACACTCACACGTGTGAGGGTCTTGCAGAAGAGTAGTGGGGAATGGAGTAGAAAGTGAAGTTTGTCTTGTATCAAAAAATTATTCCTGCATGTGGTAGCTTTTTAAAAAAATTACAAGTATGAGGTTTTACTTTTATTTTTAAGGATTTTTTTAAAGAATTATTTTTATTGCAAAATCAGATATACAGAGAGGAGGAGATATAGAGAAAGATCTTCCATTAATGATTCACTCCCCAAGTGAGCGCAATGGCCGATGCTATGCCAATCCGAAGCTAGGAACCTCCTCCAGGTCTTGCACACGGGTGCAGGGTCCCAAGGCTTTGGGCCGTCCTCCACTGCTTTCCCAGGCCACAAGCAGGGAGCTGGATGGGAAGTGGAGCTGCCGGGATTAGAACCAGAATCCATATGGGATCCCAGCACATTCAAGGTGAGGACTTCAGCTGCTAGGCCATGCCGCCAGGCCCTATTTTTAAAGATTTATTTTGATTGGGACTGCAAATCAGATTAATGGAGAGGAGAAAAAGCTCTTCGATCCATTGGATCACTCCCTAAATGGCCACAAAGGCTGGAACTGAGCTGATGCAAAGTCAGGAGCTTCTTCTGGGTCTCCCACGTGGGTGCAGGCTCCCAAGGCTTTGGGCCGTCCTCCACTGCCGCCTTAGGCCACAAGCAGGGAGCTGGATGGGAAGTGGGGCAGCCAGGGCGTGAACCAGTGCCTGTATGGGTACATGCAGGGTGAGGAATTTAGCCACGAGGATGCTGCAGCAGGCCCTTGGTGCGAAAAATTTAGTTTTGTTTTTTCCTCTATATTACATGGAAAATATGTACTCTGAAAAAAATCTGTGCATGGATTTCAACATGTTTTGGCACCCAAATTAGCTCACACTTTTAAGTGTTTGAGAGGCAGAGTTACAAAGATAAAGATCTGTTCACTCGGTAAGTGGCTAGAACAGCCATGTCTGAGCTAAGCTGAAGCCAGGAGTTTTATCCAGGTCTCCCACATGGAGGACCGGGCCCAAGCACTTGTGCTATCTTCGACTGCTTTCCCAGGCACATTAGCAGGAAACCAGATTACAAAGGGAATAGCTGGGACTCAAACCTGTGCCCATATGTGGGATGCTGTACCCTCCCATCCCTGACAGCAGCATAACCCACTCCGCTGTGTCACCAGCCCCCAACACGCAATTCAAGGCCCATTTTCCACCAGCCGCTGGACCCAGGATCCTCGGCCTGGTCTCAGCTCCTTAAGTTGTGGCTTTTTGGAAGGGAGTGACCACTCTCGAAGCACGGTGGGCTCACAGTAGGGCTGTTCACCCCACCCCTTTCCCCCCCCCCCGCCCCATGGTCTCTGTTCTCAGGGCTGTCAACAGGAGCTGCTGTGCTCTATGCCCAGACCCTGGCGCATCTCGCCCGCCACCCCATCCTCGTCCTGAACGGCGGGTACGAGCGCTTCTCCGCCTACTACCACTTCTTCCGGACACAAAAGATCATCTGGATGCCTCAGGTGACGTGGACGAGCTGGGGCGGGGACACTGGGCTGGGGAAACACAGTGGGGACAGCCAAGAAGCCCAGCGCTCTGTGCTGGATGCCTCACTGTCAGGTATGGCGAAGGGCAGACCCGTGGCCAGGGCAGGGGCAGGGCATAGGAAGTTCAAAGTCAGATGGGTGAGGGGCGACTCCAGGATGGAGCCCAGCAGGAGAGGTGGGGTGCACAGCTTGCTGGAGCCCAGGCTCAGGGCCAGGGGTTTGCAAGGAAGAAGCACGGCGAAGTGCATGGCAGCCGTGGGCCAGGGCTAGCCCCTGGAGGGTGACGCGGTGACGAACTTGCTTTATGATGATCCTGCACCCGAGGCGATGGGAGCGTGAAGGGCCAGTTTTCCTCCTGCAGCGGTGGCCTTGGCCGCCTCCCGAGGCCTGTTCTCATCCACGTTGGCAGTGGATCCCATCCTTTCTGAAGAATGTTCATGTTCTCGTGGAGGTGGTAACGGGGTGCCGGGGGCGTGAGGACTGGGTGGAGCTGTGCTTCTGTGGCGGTGTTAGGGTGTGACAACGGTTACTGTGTAAGACCCCGTGCCCCTGCTGGGCAGAAGCACTGAATCCAGTCCCCTGGGGGAAAAGGCACGACTTGAGCAAGCCCCTTCCCTGCAGCCGGGGCTGGGTCGAGGAGTCCGGTGGAGGTGAGGCTGTGAGTTGCTGATGGGACAAGCTGAGTGCTGGATGGAGAGTCTGTACCACAAGGCTTATGATCATTACGTATTTAGAAATAATTGTAAAGGGAAGAAAACAGTGGTACAAGCCAGGGCAGTTTACATTCTGAGCTCAAGCTGGAATTGGATTTGGTCTGTCTCAGTGCTGTCTCCTCCCCTGGGCCTCGTCCCTCTGCCTGGGCGGGCGTGGGCATGTGGGGGGCCTCCGCCTTGTATGCCTGTGGCTTGTGCGTGGAGGGGACGTGTCGTTCTCCCTGGGGCCCTGGTGACTTCTGGTGTAGCCGTAGGGTTCACTGCAGATTTCACCTAAGACTGCTGTGACTCCCCCCGCTGCTCCACTTCACCCCTTCCCCGGATAGCCCGGTACTCCCCCACACCCAGCCTGCCACGCTGCACCTCACCCATGGGATCAGGCAGGGTCATAGCCATCTCCCAAGCCAGGCCATGCTTTGTGGGGCTCTCTTGCCCTTGTCCCTGTTGATTCACGTCTCTGGAACTTGCTCTACCGATGACAACGATGCCAACGAGGGGATGAGTGACAGGCAAGGAGACCGTAGCAGTTGATTGAGTGAGGTGAGGAGACGGAATCCTAGCCCCCGACGGAGCAGGTGGGCGTCTCCGGAAGGTGCCGAGTGCAGTCTGCATCCAGAAGGGGTTTTAATGAACATAACTGTGGGTCTCCCCCCTTTTCCTTCCACACTCAGACTTTCCCAGAAGAGGGGAGTTTTGGATATAAAATTCCCCTCAATAAATCCCTCTGGACAATACTGGCCATCCAGGTTCTTTTTTTGTTGTTTTTATAAGATTTACTTATTTTTATTGGCAAGGCAGATATGCAGAGAGGAGGAGAGACAGAGAGGAAGATCTTTTGTCCGATGATTCACTCCCCAAGTGAGTGCAACGGCTTGAATGGAGGCAATCCGAAACCAGGAGCCTCTTCCGGGTCTCCCACGCGGGTGCAGGGTCCCAAGGCTTTGGGCTGTCCTCAACTGCTTCCCAGGCCACAGGCAAGGAGCTGGATGGGAAGCAGGGTTGCTAGGATTAGAACTGTTGCCTGTATGGGATCCTGGTGCGTTCAAAGCGAGGACTTTAACCACTACGCTATCGCACCAGGCCCCTATCCAGCTTCTTATCTGTGGGAGCAGCAAGTGGCTCCTTCAGCTCGGTGACCCTGGCCATGTGGGACCAGCTGGGTGGCTGTCAGTTCAGTGAATTCCTGGTGACGAGGGACGGACGCCAGGCTGGGAGCTGCCTCAGAATGGGTTTCCTTGCTCCATGACACAGACCCTTTAACACTTCTCGGTTTCTTTGGCCCCTCTTGCACATGTAGGTTAGTTGGCTGCCCGGCTACACTCTCCACAGGAACGTGGCCCAGCTCTGAGTCGGCCCGGCCCACCCTGGCTGTCTAGCATGTGGGCCACTCCTCTCCGATCTGCAAACATTTCCCTGCTGTTGATTACTGCCTGCCCTCTCACGTTTTAAAAATCACCTGAATGAAGGAGAGAAACCTCTCACGTATTGGCTTTCTGTCGCAAGTGCCCATAGTACCCAGGGCCTGGTCAGGCTGAACGCAGGAGCCAAGAACTCTGGGGGGTCTCCCCTGAGGGTGGCAGGGACCCAAGTACTTGGGTGGGCCATTAGCTGCCACCTCCCACGTAGGCTGTGGGTCACTCCCGGGGCGGGACCTGCCGTGAGCCTGGGTTCCCTCCCCGGAGTCGCCCGTCATTCATGACATTCACGTGCACTTGGTCCTTGAAGTCCCAGGCTTCCGTCTGTGTCACTCCCCCACCCCTTTCCCGGGCAGACCCACTCAAGCACAGACAGAACAGGAAGCGGGTTGGAAAGCAGCAGGAAGAGTTGTTTGATGAGTTGTGGTTTTTCAGAGGTTTGATACCTTTTTGAGCCGAGTCATGGGACGCTGACCCATCTTGGACAGGCTCTTCCTGCTCTGGGTTTGTGGGGAGTTGACCATGGGGGAGGGGAGATTAGGATTGAGTCCAGCCAGGGGGTCCAACGTGGACATGGGGAGCTGGAGGCTTGTGAAGACGCTCTTTCAGACCTGGCTCCGAGGGCCTTGGAACTGCTTTAGATGTCTCTGAGTTTTCCATTGGTTCCTCAGAAAGGCACAGATGCAGAGCTGTCTGTTGGCTCACCTGCCCACCACAGCTGGGGCTGGGAGCAGAACCAGGCACTCCACTACAGGCTGGGCCAGCGCATACTTTAAATGCTGGGTGGAATATCCATGCCTGATCTGGATGCGTTGGGGGGAGGGGGGGACACTGGGGGCACTGGCAGAAGGCAGGCTCATGGGTGTAGCATCAGGCTGGGCAGTGGAGTGCCCGTCTTTGTGGCCCAGCTTCCCAGAGCCTGTGGTCGTTCCAACTTTTCCCAGGGAGCACCGAGATGATGCAGTGCCAATGCCTGCTGTCCGGATGGCCTTGGTTCTGTGGGCCCTGCATCCACAGTGCGTGGCAGGGAGAGCAGTATTTCTTAGAGGCCACTTTGGGAAATGCAAACCCAACACAAACCCACCCCTCCTAACTGGACACAGTTCTGGTCCCCAGATCCAGGACTCCAACATCCATGCACATGTTTGGGGGCCAGCAGGTGCTGTGGAGGGATGATGCTGTTGTCACGGGCTCAACAGCGGCCTGGTACTTTGTGCCTTGATGCTGCCAGCCCAGAGCCCCTGGTCTGCACCTGGCTCCCTGCAAGTCTCATGGGGAGCCCGGACTACAATCTTGTGCCCTGACCTGGTAGGGGCCGTGTTAACACGGGGGGGTTTGCTGAGCCACGTTACCAGGGGCGGAGAAGCGCTGTTGCCTGGGCTGCGTGCTCACAGCAGCTTTCTCCCCTCCACCCCGACCCTCAGGAGCTGGCCGCCTTCCAGCCGTACCCCATTGAAATCCTGCCAGGTAGGATCTTCCTGGGCAGTTTCTCACAGGCCTGTGACCCCAAGATTCAGAAGGATCTGAAAATCAAGGCACACGTCAACGTCTGCATGGAGACGGGGCCCTTGTGAGTGGAGGAAGGGCCGCCGGGCTGGGTGGGCGGCACTAGCTGCTGCGGGCTCCCTGGGGGCCGCGGTCACCGGGGTGAGAGGGCATACCTGAGGCCGGCTGGCTCAGCGCTGGCTGCACTTGGCATCCTGTGGGTGTGGCTGGGAATCTCATGTTTCATGCCTGATACAGATCACCCAGCTTCCACGGCGTAGGTCAGTGCCAGATGCTTTCTTGCTTCTTGCAAAAGATTACTTGTTGGGGCCAGTGCCATGATGTAGCAGGCTAATCCTCTGCCTGCCAACGCCAGCCTCCCACGTGGGTGCTGACTGCTCCACTTGCAATCCAGCTCCCTGCTTATGGCCTGAGAAAGCAGTGGAGAATTGCCCGAGTCCTTGGGACCCTGCACCCACGGGTGTGGGAGACCTGGAAGCTCCTGGCTTTTGGCTTCAGATTGGCTCGGTTCTGGCTGCTGCAGCCATTTGGAAAGTGAACCAGCAGATGGAAGATCTCTCTTTCTCTCCTCCTCTGTAACTCTGCCTTTCACATAAAAATAAACTTGTCAACCTGCACCCGCGTGGGAGACCCAGAAGAGGCTCCTGGCTTTGGATCGGCATAGTATCGGCCCGTTGCGCTCACTTGGGGAGTGAATCATCGGACGGAAGATCTTTCTGTCTCTCCTCTCTGTATATCCGCCTTTCCAATGAAATAATAAAAATAAATCTTTAAAAAAAAAATAAACTTGTCTATTTGAAAGGAAGAATTAAAGGTCTTCTGCCTGCTGGTTCACCCTGAAGACAGGAGCCAGAAAGTCCATCCCACGTGGATGGCAGAAACCCAGATGACTTTCCCAGGCGTGTTAGCAGGCAACTGGATCAGAAGTGGAGCAGCTGGGACTGGAACTGCCACCCAGACGGGAAGCTGGCCTCGCAGGCGGCAGTTTTTACCCACTCCACCGCAGCGCCGGCCCACAGTGCTGGCTTTCTAAGATCCAAAGCTGGCTGATGGCACCAGCCCCTTGTGCAGGGAGGTGTCATGAGTGGGGGCCGTGACCGCGGCCCCCTGGCTACACTGTGCTTTTTCTCTTTAGTTTTAGAGATGACCCCGAGAGACTCCTGCACATCCCGATCGAGGATTCCCTGGAAGCCAAGATATTCCCCTCTTTCCGCCACCTCTGCCATTTCATCAGTAAGGGGCTCCCTTATTGGTGCCTGGTCAGGGCTGGGCAAGCCCTGGACAGTTTCGTATCGACCCTGGAGGGTGGTGGCACCATCTGCATCCAGACTCTGGCTTGACTGCTGTGTCCCTCCGGGCCCCTGGGAAGGCGTTGGCCAGCCGTGGTGCGCACATCCCTGGCACACTCAGCTCCTGGCAGGCTGCTGGGTGCTGGGAGGCAGAGCTGAGTCTTGCTGCTCCCCTGCCTTCAGCTTGGTCAGTGGGTGGGAGGGAAGGAAGAACCGCCCCTCCGCCCTCCCTGCCGTGACTGGCATGTGTTCCTCCGGCCCCCTATCTGCTGTACATGGAGGGAAGCAGCTGTGAGACAGCCTCGTGCAGGGAACTGCTGTGGCCACAGGTGTTGGAACTACTGCTGCTAGGTATACCTCACTGAGGGCCGAGTGTGTCACAGCAGCACAATGTCCCCAGAGAGCAGACAGAGCTGAGCCGGGCAGGAGGCTGGCCTGGTACCACAGGTCCAGAGCCCTGCCCAGGGGCTAGCAGGGCAGGCGTGACACCATCCTGGCAAGTGCCCCATATTCCAAGATGGCAGAGCCCTTGGATACAGAGGCCCCTCTCCAGCCCCACTTCCCTGGGTGCCCTGCGCTGTGCCTGTTGCCTTCTTCATATGATAAAATGACTGGCTCTGAGGGTCTGATCTTGCGGTTAGCGTATTCTTCCTCTGTTCTTGGGGTTCATGAGAGCAGCCCTGGAGTCCAGCGGCCAGCATGGTGTAACTTACAGCTTCCCAGGGCCATGGGGGTTGCAGTTGACACATCTGTGCCACAGGGCAAGGCAAAACCCCACGGGGCAGATGCTGGCCTGTTGCCCTGTGGTCCCCGTGTCTCAGATCCTGGTGGATAAACAGGCTGGAGTCAGGGTGTGAGCGCCCCCTGCAGACAGGACAAGAAAGCACAATTGTTTGCCCACTCCTTCATGTCTCCAGGACCAAGGACCCTGTGTAACCATCTCGCCCTCCCCTTGCCCACCCTTTTGCAGCCGTTCACCTCCAGATGGGTTCTGTCATTCTGGTCTTTTCCACCCAAGGGATCAGTCGCAGCTGCGCAGCCGTCATAGCCTTCCTCATGCACGAGAACCAGGAAACCTTGAAGGTACACCACGCGGTCCTGAGCCTGGCCACCCACAGGAGGCCTGGGGAGTGGGCAGGGTGGAGCTGGACCAGTGTTCCAGCATTGTCCTGGGGCCCTGACAAGGGGTTGGGGAAGGAGAAGAGGAAGAATTGGGGAGGTGAACATGTTGGCATGGCCGGTAGGTGGGACCTGAGGATGAGGTCCTGGGCTGTGTGACCTCACAGGCCCGAGGCTGGGCACACAGGGCCAGCATAGGGACTCAGCCGGGCAGCACCTGCTGGCAGTCTGTCGCCAGCACGCAGCTGGGGTCACCCTGCCAGTCCGCTGGACTCCCTGCACCAGCTCCTTCCCCACCGGCCCTCACCTGCTTGGAGAGGCAAGAGAAGCAAATGTCAGAACTGGGCGGGGTGGGGGACGGGAATGCTGATGCCCAGGCGGTTCCTGCTTGGGGACATGGGAGAGGGGTCACCGTCTTGCCGGTCACACCCCGTTCCTGGACTCGCAGTGCTGAGGTTCGGCCCTCCAGCTTCCCCCAGCGGTGTTTGTCGGGCCAGGGTTGGGCCAGTGGCCAGCTGTGGTCCTGGCTCGTGGCTCTGCACATCAGCTCAGCTCTCCCGGGGGATGAAGTCGCATGCTACACAGAGGCTGTTCGTGTTCCGGAGGCCCCACTTGTAGGTTTATGGGCTCACAGGTGTTCACACATCCAAGTTCATGGCTGCAGCATTCCCCACTGCCAGCAGGTTGGAAAGCCTAGTGGAAATCCTGCAGGTGGACATACAGATGTGATTGTGTATAATAGAATGTTTGAAAGAGGAAATATTTTTTTGAACATTTGTTTATTTGAATAGTAGAGGAGAGAGGTCTCCTATTCACTGATTCATTTTTCAAATGGCTGCAGCAGCTGGGGCTGAGCCAGGCTGAAGTCAGGGCCCCAGGGCTCCCTCATGTGAGTGGCAGGGGATCCAGCACTCGGGCTGCCACCTGCTGCCTTCCCAGGCGCATTAGTGGGGAACTGGCTCAGAAGCGGAGCAGCGGGGCCAGGGGCTTGAGTCAGCGCTCTGCTGTGGGATGCCAGGGTTTACCCACTGTGCCTCACTGGCCCTGAAGGAGGAGGTTCTGATGTTTGGGTTGAACCCTGCTGTTGCCATGTGAAGGCAACGAAGCCAGTCACATGCAGGACACCCTGTGGACCAGGGAGCCAGGCGGAGTGAAACGGCAGCCACAAAAAGTGAGCCGCAAATGGATCCTCGGTATGGGAAGATGAGAACGTTCTAGAAGTGGCGTCTGATGAATGTATGTGTTCATTTAGACGTGGTTACATTGGTAAACTTGGTGTAACCAGAGTTTTTAAAAATCAATTTAAAGAACAAAAAATCTGGACAGAGTCCCAGGTCCTGGGGCCAGGGCATGTGGGGGCCAAACTCCCTCCCCGTCTCCATGTCCAGCTGAGATTTCCGGGGGATCACTACCAGCTCGACGCCTTTGTTGTGGAGGGGAGTGGTGACATCATTGTGGCTGCTGAGGGTGGGGGAGCCTCTCGCCCCTCCCCAGGAATCTGTCCTGGACAGGGGTGTCCTCTGGCTGCCTCTGGTGCTGGGTGCTTCCCCAGCTGGTCGGAAGGCTCACCCACCCCCTGCCCACAGGGTCCTTGGAGCGTGCCCTGGAGCTGGCCAGGGGACATGACTGGATGACCTTCCCTCAGCCTCTGCCCTGCTGGGTCTCCATCTGCCTGTCAGCCCGCCCTCCAGCCCGTCCTCCAGCCCCTGGCAGGTCATGGTCACCTCCCTAGCCGTTCCCAAAGCCAGGGGTCACAGGGCAGGGAGCAAGAACAAAGTGAGGCTCCTTGCCATCCAGCTGCCCTGTGACCTCTGGCAGCCAGGCTTCCACTGTCCTCCGCAGGGTCCATCCTGTCGGCTTGGCGGCCCTGGCCAGTGGTCAGCGAGTGGACAGCCACCGGGGGGGTGCTAGGCCCCCTGAGATCCAGGTCCTGCTGCTCCCTGGAGGAACCCTGGCACTCCGTGCCTGCTGCCCAGAGAAGGGGGTGGGTGACCTTGGCCAGGGCAGCATGCAGGCTGCCTGTGGTCAGGGAGGGCTGCCCACTGCCCCTGCTCCCTGTGAGGTGGCTAGCTTTTCCTGCTGCCAGGTACCACCCTGGGCTCCACACTAGTGGGTACAGGAGTGAGTGATGGCAGTTCTGACCTAGGCTTTTTAAGTGTCCAGGCGAGGTCGCGTGGGAACCCAGAGCCACGAGCCCTTAAGAACCTGAGTCCCAGGGCTCTAAACCGCCTGGAGTAGCATGGTCCGTTCCAGGGATTGAGACGAACAAAACCTGGAACTCCTCTCACACTCAGAGCTGACGTTGGCCAGCGCGGCCACTGTGCCAGGTTGCTTTAGTGTGTTCTGTGTGGGAGGAACTTGCATGGTGACCCCACAGCAGCGGGACTGTCCTTGTGCTGGAGCCTAGTGGCCTGGCTGGGGGAGTCTGGGCTCTGGCCCTGTAGGCTGAGCTGGGCACTGCCCCTCACCCTGTGTGGCCTGGGCACCTCCCTTCTCTGCAGGAAGGACACTGGGGCCAACAGCTCCGTCCACCCTGCCTGCCTGCCGCCCCTGCTGTGTGACCTAGAAGGGGTGGCTGTCGGGGACATGATTTATAGTTCTTCCTCAGGGAGCCCAGTGGGTCTGCCCGGACTTGGCTAACCTTCCAGCAGCACAGCTCTGCCACAGCATTACTTTTTAACTGGAAAATGCTGACATGTTAAATGTATCATCTCCACATTTTTAGTGTATAGTTCAGTGGTATAAAGTGTATCCATGTGGTTGTGCAACCAGTCTCATCTTGCAAAACTAAAACTCTGCAGCAGTGCCACAAACCCCCACTCCTCCCCGAAGCCCGGGCCCTGACAGCCGGCCGCCTTCTGTCCTGAACGTGACCGCTCTAGGTACTGCCTATAATCTCTTGGCTGCTGCTTCCTCTTCCTCCTTCCCCTCCTCCTCCTCCACTTATTTTTATTGGAAAGGTAGATGTGCAGAGAGGAGGAGAGACAAAGATCTTCCATCCTCTGGTTCACTCCTCAAGTGTCCGCAATAGCTGGAGCTGAGCCGACCTAAAGCCGAAGCCAAGGAGCTTCCTCCTGACTTCCTATGAGTGCAGGGTCCCAAGGCTTTGGGCCGTCCCCCACTGCTTTCCCAGGCCACAAGCAGGGAGCTGGATGGGAAGTAGAACAGCTCAGGAAATGAACCAGTGCCCATGTGGAATCCTAGCATGTGCAAGGCAAGGATTATAGTCACTGAGCCATTGTGCCTGGGCCCTTCTCCCGGCTTCTTAAAGAATTTATTTGAAAGGCACAGTTAGAAGGAAAGACGGATCTTCCATCCACTAGTTCATTCCCCAAAAAGCCATAGCTGGGCTGAGCCTAAGCTAGGAGCCAGGAGCTTCTCCCACATGGGTACAGGGACCTAAACACTTGGGCCAGCCTCTGCTGCTTTTCCAGGTGTGTTAACAGGAAGCTGGATTGAAGTGGAGCAGCCAGGATTCAAACTGTCCACCCATACGGGATGCCAGTGCCACAGGTGAAAGCTTGGCCTGCTCCCTACTCCAGTCCATCCCGTCTCATGACGGCAAGCTGAACAGGATTCCATTGTGTGTAGGTTTTGCCCTTGAGACCATCCAGGCCAGAGGCTTTGTTTTGGAGGATTGTTAATTATAATTATACATTTGATTTCTCTAATAGATACAGGCTTATTCACATCGCCTGCTACTTATATTGTTTTTTTCTTCTGTTTCCTTTCAAGAAATTGGGCAGATCTCTGGGTGCAGAGTAGTTTGTGCTGTTTTCACGTCCATGGAGTCGATAGTGATGTTCTTCCTGTCTGATAGTAACTGTCTTTCCCCCACCTCCTTAGCCTGGCTGAAGGCATGCTGCTTTTATTGGTCTTTTCAAAGAAATTGCTTTTGGCACTATGGTTTTTTCCATCAATTTCCCAATTTTGTTTCACACTTGTGCACACGGACATCTAGTTTTTCTTCACCATCCTCTATTGAAAAGACGTTTTTCCTCCCAAAGGGGCTTGTCATCCTATGGAAAAGCATGGAGAATTTATCTGTGAGCTCTCTGTTCTCCTTGGTTTCATCTTTCTGCCAGTACCGTGGTTTTTGACTACTATAGCTTGGTTGTAAAGTTCAGAATTGGGAAATGCAAGGCCTTCAACTTGGCTTTTCTTACAAAAATCATTTTGGCTATTTGGAATCCTATAGATTTCACATGGATTTTTTTTTTGCTTTTTCTAGTTTTGTGAAAATGGCAGCGGGATTTCATTCAGATCACCTAGTGTTAAGTCTTCCAATCCATGATCCAACCCATGAATATGGGATATCTTTGTGTCTAGTGGTCTTTCATTTCTCGCAGCAATGTTGTCATTTTCCACATACAAATCTTTTTGCCTTCTTGGTTAAGTGTCATTAGTTTAATATTACAAATGGAATTGTTTTATTTTGGGTCATTCACTGAATACATAAAAGTGCAATTCTGTTTGTCTGAAAGGCAGAGAGGTAGGTCTCTCATCCCTGGTTCACTCCCACATGGCCACATGCCAGACTGGACTAGACTGGCACCAAGAGCCCACAGCTCCCACAGGCGTGGGGGAACCCCAGCACTTGGGCCATCCCCTGCTGCTTTCCCTGGGGGCACGTGAGCAGGAAGCTGGAATGGAGGGCCTAGGCACTCTGACCAGGGATGTGGGCCGTCCACGAGGCAGCTTAGCCAGTGTGCTGAACGCCTGTGTCTGCAGCGGGAAGTCTGGGACTCTGTTGACCTCGTTTGTGACCTTTAACAGGTGTGTGTGTGTACATGTGTGTACATGCAAGTGTGTGACTGTTACAAGGGTATATGTGGGACTGACAGCGTGTGTGTGTGTGAGCAAGTGTGCATGAAAGCAAATGCGGTGTGAGTGTGACGGAGTGACAGCATGCGTGCGAGACTGAGCATGTATGTCAGTGTATGAGGGAGCAGGTGTGTATCAGTGTGACAGCCTGTGTGAGTGAATGGAACAGTATCGGTGTGTGCCGGCGTCTGAGAGCATGCATGTGAGCGTGTCAGTGTGTAATAGTCACACAGCAAGCATGACAGCGTTTCTATAGGAGGCCTTGTGTTGGAGAGAATTTTCCTTTTCCCTTTGTGACTGGGATCATTAACTTATTCTCGCCTGCTTGTCCTGCCTGGGCCTCCCAGGATCCTGCTGAACTTCAGTGGCAGGAGGTCGGGGAGTCCCTTGCCTGGCTCTTGGCCTCAGGGGAGAACTCGCAGCCCCTCCCTGTGGAATGGGGGGCCTTGACTTAGGCTGAGGCAGCCTCCTCCTGTACCGGGCCAGGCTCGGTAAGGCACCCCTGTGGCATTTGTCCTTGTCTTCAACCCAGGAGACCATCCGCTGTCCACCCTAGGTAATGCCCGGGAGGGCAAATGCCTGCCCGCCCCCCCAGGCATTGTTTCCTGCTCGGGGAAGTCGCCCACGGCTCTGTTTCCTGTTCCATGAATTTGCCAGTTACAGTGGAGACCTTTGTGGAGGTTGTCCCCCCTGCTCCACCCCCCCATGCCAGGCTTGGGCCCAGGGTCAACTAGGAATTCTTCCTGTCCCTGAAGACAGAGGGCCAGCCCCAAGGACTCCTTCAGCCCCAGGCTTTAGGCCATATTACGGACCCCAAGTTCCTTCTGTCTGAAAATCAGAATCAGGCCCTGAGAGCCATCTTCTATCTTCTACCTGCTGGTCCCAGTCGAGCCTGGGCTAGTCTGAAGCAGGGGAGAGGGAGGAACCCAGCTCCCTTAGCTGCCCCCTGCTTGTCCCACAGCACACCCTGGCAGGAGGCTGAGCCAGGATGTGGCATGCAGGTGTCCCAGTGTGCCAAGCTGCTACCCTCTCCTGTCCCTTCGGAGCTGGCTTCGCTCTAGGGGGTACAGGACCCGGGGCCCAACCTTGAGGCCTGCTTTCTCCTTGTACCCACAGAGGTCCTGGGACCACGTGCGGAAGTGTCAGAACAACATGCACCCCAACCGGGCCATGGTGGCTCAGCTGCTGGACTGGGAGAGGATTGTCTTGGGCGACAGCGTCACGGACACCTCGGACCCGCTCTTCTGACGGGCGCCCAGGGACTGCTTGTGGGTGGCAAGCTGGAGTGTGTACCCGATAGGTCTGGAAGAAGGCCTTTGCCACCAGAATCCCCCAAATTAGACTCCTGCTCTGGTTCTTCGGGGCCCCTTGTTGACACCACAAAGCAGGTACATTCTGCTCGGGCTCCCCGTGATGAGACCCCGGTTACCCCCACTGCACCTCAAGGCTCCCCACCCCCCAGCCGCACACCAGCCGGGCACTCTTGGGTGCACTGTCTAGAGAGGAATGTCACAGTGCCCACCCGTGGGTGTGGAGGCGCGCTGACCCCAGCGTTCCTGGTTGCTCCCCCAGCCCATCTCCTGATTATGTGGGGCAATTTTCCTTCCCTTCTTCCAGCCTGTGTTCACCCCACCCCTCCCTACCCCACCCCACCCCATCCCAAATACCCAGGGTTCTAGAAAACTCCTGCCTCAGAGGGCAGTGGTCCCCAAAGGCATGCATGTTCCTGGGAAGGATTCGGGTAGGAGACTGGTGGGGAAGTTAGGTTGCTCACCAGATGTGGGACAGACACTTTCCCGCGGGTAGCGGAGGGAAGGAGGGTCCCCAGAATCCCCCAAGCCCCCCAGAGGACAGCAAGCCTCAAGGGGAGTGGGTTGTGCCCTAAAGGGCCGTGCTAACCGGGTCTGGCTGGGCCCCGCCCAGGTGGCTGCAGTGCAGGGCTCCGGGCCAGCGAGGGCCCTCCCGCCACGCTGGGCAGCTCCCCTGGAAAGGCCCGGGACCTTGTGTTCTAGGAAGGGCGGAGGAGGTGAGCCCGGAGGCCGCTGGCTGCCAGCCGGACCACAGCCGGGGACCCGCTTGCCCCGAGGAGGTGCGGCCGGGGTGGCCCGGGTCGGGGGCTGCAGGGACCCCGGGGTGAAGCCGGGGGTCCGCCCCGCCCCGGGCTCCCATTGGCCGCGCCGGGGGGCGGGGCCAGCGCGCGGCCTGCGCCGGGCCTGTTCCAGTTGGCGGCGGAGGCGCGGGCCCGGAAGCGGGCGGCGGAGGCGCCTCGGGCCGGCCGGGCTAGCGGCGTCCTCCGTCCTCGCTCGGGCCCCAGGGCAGGTGCTGCGGCAGCCATGCACCCGCCGCCCCCGGGCCCGCTGGGCGACTGCCTGCGGGACTGGGAGGAGCTGCAGCAGGACTTCCAGGGCATCCAGGTGAGCGCGGCCGCAGATGCCCCCTGGCCCCGAGCCCCGGCGCTCTCGTCCGGCTCGGGGTCAAGGGTCAGGGGGCGCGACCCTGTGGGCCGGGGCGGTGAGGCCCCCTGGTCCCAGCGTCCCTGGACGGACTCCTCTCCGGGTCCAGTGGCCGCTGCCGCCTCAGCAGCACTCCACCGCGCCGGGCGACCCTGGCCTCCCGCGAGGGTCTGATGCCGCGACCTTGGGGTACCCCCGCCATCTCCGCCCTCCCGCACCCCCAGTCCGAAAGTCACCGGACCGGAAGGCGGCGGCCCCGCTAGGATGTGAGATGCTGGGGAGACCTACGCCCCAGGCTCGGAGGAAGGTCCTCAAGTGGGCAGAGGGGGCAGCACCGCCTCCACCGCGGCGAGGGAATGGGAGGTTCAGCAGCCCAGGTTGTCCCTGGGAGGAGAAAAAGCTGAGAAGAGGGCGGGATGGGACCCAGCAGGGACTTGCTGGGGTTGTGGTATCCCGGGTCCTGCGGGAAGCCAGCAGGCGGCTGGCTGGCTGGCGTGGGCTTCCCTGCAGAGCCCCAGAGGTGGTGGCTGGCTAGCCCCTCCTGGGTGGGAGAAGCAGCTAGGGAGAGAACGCCCAGCACTTTTCTGGAAACCTGGCCCTGGGCCCGGCTTCGTGCATCACTGGGGAATCCTGACCCAGGCTCTTGGCCCGGCTGCCCGTGACAACCCTGCCTAGGCCCTGGGCTGCGCCGTCTACACTCACCCACCTGGGCAAAGTGCTGCGGAAGTCGCGGGTCAAAGGTGCCCAGACGTGGGGGTGTCCTAAGAAACTGATGACCTTTAACCTGGGAAGAAGGCGTCGGGCTTGGCTCCCTCCTCTCCCCATTTTTGCAGGCTAAAGGGGTGAGGGTTGTCAAGGGCGTCCAGAAGGTGGCCCCCGAGGGGTCTGATGGGGGTGGCTGGACAAAATAACATGCCAGGGAACTGGTGCCAGTAACTGTGCGGGGTCACCTGGGAGCCTGACCCCTGAGGGACAGCCCTGAGTAGCTCTCTGAGCGCTACCTACGGAGCCTGGGCCAGCTCACGCCCTGCACCAGCCTGATTGCGGCCCGGCCCCCAGGAGACGCACCGGCTGTACCGCCTGAAGCTGGAGGAGCTCAGCAAGCTACAGGCTACCTGCGCCAGCTCCATCTCCCGGCAGAAGAAGCGGCTGCAGGAGCTGGGCCTCGTCCTGAAGAAGTAAGGGCTCCCGCTGGCTGCAGGCTGGGCTAGGCTAGGGGGAGTGTGTGACCCTGGGCAGGGTGTTGGGGGGCACTGGGAACCCTGCTCTGACTCTGGCCCCCCTGCAGATGCAAAGCCTCCCTCCCATCAGAGGCCGCACAGGCCGCGCATGAGCTCGAGAGCCAGCTGAAAGAGCGCCAGGGCCTCTTCTTTGACATGGAGGCCTACCTGCCCAAGAAGAACGGGTGAGGCTCCCATCCCCACCCAGAGCCCCCACCTCGGCCCACCCAGGGTGCAGAGTGAGCCTTGCAGGATGGGGGGGCAGGAGTAGGTGCCCTCGGAGGTGGGAGGCGGCACCAGGCTGCCCTCAGAGCCCAGCTGCTGGCACCACATGCGACCCCTGGCTGGGAGACATGTGGGGGGCCCATGGCACACACGGTAGTGTGAGAGCGAGCCCTCACGTGAGCGGCCACTGCTGGACCAAATGACTCTTTGCAGTGAGTCCTTGGGTAGGTTAGGGTAACCGAGTGGGCAGTGGTGATGGTGACCTGTCCATGAGAACGTGGCTGTGGGAGACACGGTGCAGGCCTGGGGCGGGGGTTGCTCTATGATGGAAGAGCCTCAAGGTGCCGTCCAGGGCTGGGGCTGCAGTCCCACTGCCCAGGTCTCCGGGCTGGGAGGTCGAGAGGGTGGCTGAGGGTGTGCAGGCTGCAGTGATGGAAGCCTGGGGTTCTTGGAGTTGGGGCACAGGGCCATTAATCTCCCTGGGGGGCAGGGGCAGCGAGGCCCTGAGGTGGTCGCAGGAGGAGAAAAGTGGAAGGTGCCACCCGGTTCCTGGTCAGCATCCCAGAACAGGCAGGGGAGAAAGGCTGCAACAGCCACCAAAGCTATGGGCGTGTGGCCAGCAGGTGGAGGGGCAGAGATGGGAGCCCAGCACACTGGGGAGTGGGGGCTGTGCCGCTTGGCCTGCGCGTGACTCCTCTCCACCTGCCCTGTCCCCCAGGTTGTATCTGAGCCTGGTCCTGGGCAACGTGAACGTGACCCTCCTGAGCAAGCAGGCTAAGTAACTCGCTGCCCGGGCCGGGCTCCTGCCCCCTCAGTGTCAGGGGAGAGGGCATGGTGCGGTGGGTCCTCCCAGCCCCTCCCAGCAGCACTTGCCACCCCCCCCCCCCCCCCCAGATTTGCCTACAAAGATGAGTATGAGAAGTTCAAACTCTACCTCACCATCATCCTCATCCTCATCTCCTTCACCTGCCGTTTCCTGTTCAACTCCAGGTGGGTGGGTGTCTGGCTGCGGTGGCCTGGTGGCGGGTCCTGCCCCTGCTCCGGGCGCCCACCCCGTCCTCCCGCCCACCCAGGGTGACCGACGCGGCCTTCAACTTCCTGCTGGTCTGGTACTACTGCACGCTCACCATCCGCGAGAACATCCTCATCAGCAACGGCTCGCGGTGCGCAGGGCGGGAGCCCCCCCTCCCCGGGCCGCCTGCTGAGGGCGCGACCGCCTGACCCTGACCGTGGCTCCCTGCTGCAGGATCAAGGGCTGGTGGGTCTTCCATCACTATGTGTCCACCTTCCTGTCGGGAGTCATGCTCACGTGGTGAGTGCTGGGGTCCTCTGTGGGAGGTAGGTGGTAGCGGTGTGTGGGGGGGGAGGGCAGCACCCCCAAACCCTCCCTCCTGCTTTCTCCTCAGGCCTGACGGCCTCATGTACCAGAAGTTTAGGAATCAATTTCTGTCCTTCTCTATGTACCAGAGTGAGTGTCTTGGAGGTCCCCTGGCGGGGGTGTGTGTGTGTGTGTGGGGGGGTGATGCCTGGTGCTGCAGCTCACCAGCGTCCCCTGCAGGTTTCGTGCAGTTCCTGCAGTACTACTACCAAAGCGGCTGCCTGTACCGCCTGCGGGCGCTGGGCGAGAGGCACACGATGGACCTGACCGTGGGTGAGCGAGCCAGCGAACACGGTTGCTCCCTTGCCCACTGCTGTGGCTGGCTGGCGGTCACTGTGCCCTTGTCCCCACAGAGGGCTTCCAGTCCTGGATGTGGCGTGGCCTCACCTTCCTGCTGCCTTTCCTTTTCTTCGGACACGTGAGTCCTGCCCATCTGTGCCCTCCCGCCCTCCTTCCTCTGCCCCGGCACTGGGCCCTGTTCCCTGAGCGCAGCCTCTGTTCCCCACAGTTCTGGCAGCTCTTCAACGCGCTGACCTTGTTCCAGCTGGCCCAGGACCCTCAGTGCAAGGAGTGGCAGGTGAGCCTGGCCCTGGGGTGGGGGGCACAGCTGGCAGGCCCTGCTCTTGCCCCAACCCCCTAACCCCCCTCCTCCCCCAGGTGCTCATGTGTGGCTTCCCCTTCCTCCTCCTCTTCCTCGGCAACTTCTTCACCACCCTGCGGGTTGTACACCAGAAGTTCCACAGCCAGCGTCGGGGAAGCAAGCGGGACTGACGCGGGGTCTGCCCTGGGCTATGTCCCAATAAAGGCAGCGAGAGAGCTCCTTGTGTTCCCCGGGCCGCCCAGGAAATGAACAGGACTTAAGCCAAGAGCACAGGTTATTTAAAATTATTTACATTCATTGAAAATCATCGGAGAGGCTGGTGGGCCCTAGCCCAGCCGAGAGGGGCCCCTCTGTGGGCCTCATGGAGCCTGCAGCCTGGCTCCCCTTTCCTGCGCCCCTGGTCTGCTACAGCCAGCCCTGGCCCTGGGCTGTCCAGGAGGGGCCTGGCCATGGCCTGCGTCCCGGGGCCGTATGGCAGCCCCTGGCCTGGGGTCCTGGCAGGAGGGAGTGAGGAAGGTTACGGGGCACGGATGG